TTTTAAAACCTGTCAGACATTAAAAAAAATCATTGATGTTTTATGTTTTAAAAATGTTGTATAGTAAACAGTGCAGATCCAATAATCTTTTGGGAGTAATGAGTACACAAGCATCCAGTTAAAGATTAATTACATGTAATGTGTTCAATTTAGGAAGGCTTGTTGCATGTCTCTATCATTTCCTTTGGGAATTAGACAGAAGAATTGTTGGTCAATTTATATTTGATGGCCAGCCTTTTATTTTCAAAATTAATTAGGTTTAAATTAAGTTGTGAAGACTAATTTGATATTGTTTATTATGATGGGCGTTTGGTAAGGTCACACAACCAGTATATAAATCTATGAATGATGCAATTTTTGTTATAATTAATGCCTACACCACAGGAGATGGATAAAAAAATTTAAGGAATGTATAAATATATTAAAATAATTGAAATCTTAAAATCATGGTTGACATGATATTCCTGCACTTTTAACTGTTTAAGATACATTGTAATTGTAAGTTTTTGACGGGCGTATCATGCTGTGACGGGGCACTTTATTTTTACATAATTTCAGAAAACATCGTACTCGTCCAAACTGAATGCCTTCTTCATCCATGAAAGAAATAGTGGAATTATCTCTTTTGGTCATTCTTTTATAATAAAGGCCATATACAATCTTTTTTTTTTATTTCAATCCTATTGAAACTTTGGTGGTGCTTCTCCATAGTATGATGACACTGCTCTTTATTCCTCATCAGATAGTAATCTATCTCTTATGTCTCTTAGTACATAAATATCATCATACATTTTAATGTTGCAATGAACTACAATTCCTCTTCTTTAGAACCTTTTCTGATACATTTTTGTCTTAGTTCTGGTAATTTTTGAATAAAGGATATTCCTGTTGTCATTTGTTGATCAATATTTTGGGTTCCTCTTATCATTTTCAAAATAAATCCATTGTTGTCCTCAAATGCAAAACAACTGTTGCTATACAGTGGTCCCAAGTAGCGGACAATGTCTGCCAGATGAAGTAACTGGTGTAAATTTAGGGTCATGCAGCATTCTTCATACATTTCTGAAAAGTTTTCATAAAAATTTTATAAGAGGTGTTCTGCATAGGATAAATCTTCTTCTGTTGAGCCACACTTCAGGAATATGTGCATTGCATTAACCAGGTAGTGACTGTATCGCTGAGTGTCAAGTATACCTTTTAAAACAATTGCGCCATAAAAAAGCAAAAATGATCTGAACTCCGATGCTTTCCAGTACTTAAGTTCCGAGGTAATGGATCTAGGTAGCCTTGAAACATCTAAAGTTGGATTCACAAGTTTTAGTTTTGGATCAACAGCACAAACTAAGTTGGAAACACTAAATGTGTACTTGGAAAAGTCAGGAGAAAACCACAATCTGAGCATTAGTTTTTGTACACCAAGTGCTATTCCATGCATATAATCTATGCATATGCCATGAAGGATGTTAAATTTTGGAAGGATCATAAGCCATGTTGGACCTTTTATTCCATTGATTGTTTTCTTTTCTTGGACTGCCTTTTTCGAATCCTCCATCATTGATTTGGTTGTTCTTGGTGGTCCTTGTAGTGATTCTGAGATAAATAGAAAAACACGAGTGTGTCCTATTCCCACTTTTGCAAGCAATCTAGGTGTAATATTCATAACTTTATTCCGGATTTATTTTATTTACTGTACCAAGTTTACTTTTACTATCAAATTTCGTTTTGTAACCAGTTTCGAGAACCAGTTAATAAATGGCTGCACATGTTGATAAGACTTATTGTGCTTGACATATCCGAGGCATCCTCCCTCCCCTGTCATACATAACATTACATGGTGTCAGATGGAGCACATAAGACCACCACCGGAATTGGATTTTTCATCTTCAGATGGAAATCTCCCCGAACGATGGAGGAAATGGGAACAAACCATGCTGTTATATCTAAATATAGCCATGCACGGGCGGGACGAAAAGGATCTTTGCAGTGCATTCCTCTACATAATCGGGCAAGATGGGCGTGAAATTTTCAACACGATGACAATTCCGGATGAAGACAAGGACAAGATAGAACCCTTGTTTAAGAAATTCAAGGAGTACTGTGCACCCCGGGAAAACATAACGGTATGGAGACACAGATTCCACACACGGCAACAAGGTAAAACAGAGACAATCGATCAGTATGTTACGGATTTGCGTGTGATAGCTAAAAACTGTAAATTTGGAGCATTAGAGGAGGATATGTTGCGCGATCGTATTGTTTGTGGCGTAAACTCTGAGAAAGTGAAAGAGAGGCTACTTCGTGACAACAAACTGACATTAGAGAGCGCACTAAGTGTTTGCAGAGCAAATGAGGAGTCTGCTATTCACCTTAAAGACTTACACAGCGAGGAAGCTACAGCAGCCGCAGTGTTCAAGAAATCAAAGGACCGAGACCATCACAGGCAGTCAGCTAACAGGAACAACAGAAAGAAACAAAGCACAAGACCGGTAAGCACACATGAACAAAAAAGTAAAGTGAAAACATGTGGAAAATGTGGGACTAGTCATGATGTTAGTCATGATGTACGGGAAAAGCTGCCTGAAGTGCAACAAGCTGAATCATTTTGCGAAAATGTGCAGAACTAAAAATGTGAATAATGTTGAGCATGATGAAGTACCGACAGATGAAGAATTCTTTATAGACGCAGTGAACAAAACCCCACGTACTGTTGTCAAAGATGAGGCATATGTGAATCTCGAGTTCAACAAAATGACTGTCAAACTGAAGATTGACACAGGCTCACAAGTGAACATTATATCTAGAGATGTGTTGAGTAAACTACCAGTGAAAAAAAAGATCACAAAAACCTCAGTGAAGTTGACAAGTTATACTGGCAACCACATACCCATTATCGGAAAGTGTTTTCTTAGACATAAGAATCACAACTTAGAGTTCTATGTGACTAAAACAGACACTATACCATTGCTTGGACTCAAATCTTGTGTAGATCTTGGACTGGTAAAGCTCACAATGGCGACTCAGAAAAAGGAAGAGGACGCGGAACTATACGATGAGTTCTCATCAGTTTTCCAAGGATTAGGGTGTTTGCGGGAACGGTACCACATACAGATTGATTCCACAATAAAACCGGTTGTACACCCACCTAGAACATTTCCAGCAGCACTTCGAGATGATTTGAAAGCCTCACTAGATGGAATGGAGTCCCAGGGCGTCATTGGAAAAGTGGACGAGCCAACGGAATGGCTTAGTTCCATCGTTTGTGCAGAAAAGTCCAATGGTAAACTAAGGATATGTCTGGACCCACGGGATTTGAATAAGGCAATCAAGCGAGAGTACTATCAACTACCCACGATTGAGGAGATCACTACTCGTCTTGCAGGTGCCAAAGTTTTCAGCAAACTGGACGCCAACAGCGGTTATTGGCAGATACCACTTGACTCGGAAAGCCAAAAACTAACAACATTTAACACACCTTTTGGTCGTTATTGTTTCCGAAGGATGCCATTTGGAATAAAAAGTGCTCAAGAACTTTTCCAGTAGCGTATCTCACAACATTTCAGCCACATTCCTGGAGTGGAAGTGGACATAGATGATATTTTAGTCTGGGGAACTTCTAGAGAGGAACATGACCAGAGATTAAGAACAGTGCTAGAAAAGTGTAAAGAGATAAACTTGACTCTTAACAGAGACAAATGTGTATTTCGAAGTTCTGAAGTCACATACATTGGACACATTTTATCATGTGAAGGTGTCAAACCTGATCCCAGGAAGATAGAAGCCATCACTAAGATGCCCCCACCAGAGGACAAAAAGGGAGTCGAACGACTATTAGGGACCATCAACTATCTGGCCAAGTTCATACTCAATATGTCGAGGATAACACAACCCATCAGAACACTTTTAAGGAAGGATGTGACATTTCACTGGGACCATGAGCAGGAGAGTTCATTCAAGGAAATCAAGAGAGTTTTATCTGAAACACCTGTTCTTACATTTTTTGATGTCAAGAAAGCAGTGATTGTAAGTGTAGATGCGTCAAAGTCAGGATTAGGAGCTGTCGTTCTACAAAGTGACAAGCCTATAGCGTATGCATCGAGGGCGCTTACAGATGCTGAAACAAGATACGCACAGATTGAAAAAGAACTCGTTGCAGTTACATTTGGGCTGGAACGGTTTCATCAATACAAATACAGTGTTGACGTCACAGTGGAAAATGATCACAAACCACTCGAATCAATACTGAGAAAACCTCTTTCACAAGCACCGCCAAGACTTCAAAGACTTTTACTTAGATTACAGAAGTACACGTTTACATTCAAATACAAGCCTGGCAAAGAACTAGTAGTTGCAGATACACTATCACGAGCGTGCCTTCCCGTCAACAAACAGGAATCTCAAACTTTGACTCAAGAGTTGGATACATTTGTTCATTCTGTGTTCTTACAAAGTGTGCCTATGTCAAGGAACATTCTTGAGGACATCCGCAGGTCAACTAAAGGTGACGATGACCTTAAACGAGTGAAAGATTGCATTCAGAATGAATGGCCTCCATACAAACAGTTTACAGCAAATAAGACATTACAGACATTCTGGAAGGTCAGAGATACTCTTACTGTGGTAGATGGACTGATTCTCAAGGGAGAAAGAATAGTGATTCCGAGAGATATTCAGCCGGAAATCTTGCGACAATTACACACAGGACACATGGGCATGGAGAAAACCAAACGTCGAGCTAGAAACATTGTATACTGGCCCAATATGAATAGAGACATTGACAATATGACTCTACAGTGCAACACATGCATGGATTTCAGAAACCAAAATCCTAAGGAGCCTCTTGTCTCGACAATCATACCTGAAGGACCATGGCAAGTCGTAGGAACAGATTTGTTCAGCCTACACAACATTGATTACTTGATTGTTACTACTACTCCAGATATTTTGAAGTTGCAAAACTACCTAACACCAGAAGTAGTACTGTGATTGACAGACTTAAGTCCATGTTTGCGAGACATGGCATTCCGTATGAAGTCAAGAGTGACAATGGACCTCAGTATATTTCACAGGAATTCAGACAATTTGCTAAGGATTGGAACTTCCAGCATACTACCTCTAGTCCTTACCATCAACAAGCTAACGGACTTGCAGAGAGGACAGTTCAAACGGTAAAACGACTACTTGAGAAATCGAGAGTTGACGGAAGTGACCCTTATTTGGCCATACTGGAATACAGGAACACACCAACAGATACAGAATCACCAGCCAAGTTATTGATGAGCAGAGAATTGAGATCCATATTACCTGTTACCACAAGGCAACTTAGACCAAAAACGGTGAAACCCAAAGACATCGTCAAGGATCGAAAGGAGGCGCAAAGGAGACAACAATATTATTTCAATCGCTCAGCTCGAGATCAACCAAAAATCTCTATGGGACAAGCTGTTCGATTCAGACACAAAGATGAATGGAAACCGGGTTATGTGATGAAGAACGAAAATCGATCATACTGGATGACAACACCTGAAGGGGAATACCGTAGAAACCGGAAGGACATTCTTATTTCAAAGGAGAAAAACTTCAACTTGAAACCAGCAATTTCCATTGATGATGAGCCAAATAGTTCACAGGAATCCGATACAGCAGTAGACTCGCAGAGTGCTATCGTTTCGGAACCACAATCTCCACGTAATCCTACTGGAAGTTATCGTACCCGATCTGGACGAGAAGTACGAAAGCCCAAACGTTTCGAGGAATAGATTCAAGGATGTGTCGGTGATGAATGATTTGTGCAAATAACTTTTTGTTTGTAAGTGGGGCAGAATAATCCCCATTATTTCTAGTCATTTTATTTGACTGGGCAGTCTACCCAAGTCATTATTTGTTAACAAGTTTAAAGTTGTTATGATGTGTAGACCAATTATTTAATAAGAAATTATAGCAAAGACATTGACTGAACTTTAAATTTTATTACATCAAAATTTTGTAAAAGGAAAAGTTGTAATATTCATAACTTTATTCCGGATTTATTTTATTTACTGTACCAAGTTTACTTTTCTATCAAATTTCGTTTTGTAACCAGTTTGGAGAACCAGTTAATAAATGGCTGCACATGTTGATAAGACTTATTGTGCTTGACATATCCGAGGCATCCTCCCTCCCCTGTCATACATAACATTACACTAGGGGGCTTGCAAAGTTTATAGGATGACTTGCCACATTTTTTAACACAAAAAGATAGTGTCTAATACATCAGTGGGAGGCTAAAAAGTCATGAAACTGCTTTTTATTTTTCAGATGCTGCTGAGTTGTGCTACGATTTTTCAGAGCTGGGTCTACTTTTATATATTAGAACTGAACTTTCCTATTTCTTCTTTGGATGCCACTGGAAAAGATTTCAAGTGTTTTCCTTTCCATTGCAGGCGATTAATTACCCCACTGAGTAATATCTTAAAAGATTCAAGGCTATCTTTAATTTCATTTTCAAGATGCTCTACCTCATCAGCTAAATTTTTAGCTCTACTGGTCAGAGACCAGAAGAGCTTATGCGATAGTAAGGTGTCCGTCGTCCGTCCTTCTGTCTGTAAACAATTTTTCAAAACGCTACTCCTCCTACAGTTTTGGTCTGATTTTAATATAACTTGGCACACAAGTAGAATACACAAAGATACATAAAATAGTGCATCAGATTTTGATTTCGATGAACGGTGTTGCCATGGTTACTAAAAATAGAATTTTCTGTGAAATTCCTTTAAAATGCTACTCCTCCTACAGTTTTGGTCTGATTTCAATATAACTTGGCCCACAAGTAGTCTACATTAAGATACATAAAATAGTGCATCAGTTTTCAATTTTGATGAACAGTGTTGCCATGGCTACTAAAAATAGAATTTTCTGTTAAATTCCTTTTAAACGCTACTCCTCCTACAGTTTTGGTCTGATTTCAATATAACTTGGCCCACAAGTAGTCTACATTAAGATACATAGATTAGTGCATCAGATTTTGATTTTGATGAATGGTGTTGCCATGGTTACTAACAAAATAATTTCCTGTGAAATTCCTTTAAAACGCAACTCCTCCTACAGTTTTGGTCTGATTTCAATATAACTTGGTTCATTTCTAACGTAGTTGACAAATTTTTCAGTTTTGGTTCAAAAGAAGACCGCCAAAACATGGCTGAAAGATTGCCCACTTGGCGTTGAACAATACTCAATCAATCAAAAGAAGAAGTTGGCTGCCTCATAATTCCTGCTGATTGAAACCCTGAATTGAGAACAGCCATTATTCGTTCTGCTGGGTTTTTCCAAGAATTGTATGGGGGTGTTCGAACACACACAAGCATGTCTAAATCTTACTCAAGAAATAAACAAATTAAAGACATTTGAACAGTTGCATAAGTTAATCTGTGGTCAGGACCAACATCACAATACATTGCAAGGATAGGTTTGTTCTGGTCCTCACAGTTCAAAACATTGTGCAATTCTTTTGCTTATCGCCATGGAGTTGAAGGTTCTAAACAGTTTTCCTCAATTCCAACATAAACCTGCCCTCCAAAGAAAGTTTCATCAATTGAATCAGGGATGTCATTATATTTGACAGAAGATTTGAAGTGGCAGTTGCGTGGCCAAAACTGAAAATGCAGCCATTCTTTTGATGGAATTTTTGTGCCAGGTGGACACTGCTTAGTAACTTGTTCGTGCAAGAAGCATTTGTTTAAATGTGTAATGACATCACCATCTGAATCAACTCTATCATCCCGTCTATCATCAACTGCCACTTCAACCTTCAGAGAAATATACTTCTGACATTCCTCTAAAAATTCTTTGTATAATTCTGGTCTTCCCTTGTTGCTCACTCCTAAGTCCCAGATTAAATCAGAATTTTCAGTGTCTAGAATTTTCTGTTACCTGCTTGTCAACCTCACTCTCTGCAGCTGTGATGTTTGCTGAGCAATCCCAAGTCAGTCTGCGATATGCTTCACGAAGAAAGGCTGCCCAACTGTGAATAGATCTACCAAACAAGGATAAGAACTCGCAGTGCATTGGTCAAGTATGAAATTTTGGTAAAGTTTTCAAAAGAGTGGAGGAAATCTCAGCATTTAAATTATATCAAGAATTTCCTTTTCTGAGGAATCCGCTGGCACTTTTCACAGAAACACAAGATGCTCTTTAGAACCAGTGTAAATATACTTGACACACTTTACAGGAACAACTAAACCTTTGATATAATCGAACCGTCAGTTGGGCTATGAATCACGGCAGTTTGCAGCAACTGGTACCTGAAAAGTATTTCAATTTTGTTTATATATTGCATTCACAACATATATTGCATTCACAACATTTGTATTGAATTTCTTTTTAGTGAAATTAAATGAAATTTTTTTTGCAGTACTTCAATATATAATTATTTTCAACTTTATACCTTGATTTTGGCTATCAGAAATAGTGATTCCAATGCAAAAAGGAGGCAGAAGATTACCTGGTGTTGCATGAAAGTGAATGGACTGAGTCCATTGCGACTCATGCCTCTCAAACATTACAGGAAAGAAAAATTAACGAACCAAGTGTCCTTCCTCTCACAGATGACATAGTCAACCTTCGCAAATACACCATGAAGAAAATGGAAGAGACGGCATCTCTTCTCAAAGTGAATCTTAGTCTTTCAACATGGAGAGAATTGTCTATGGCCACGCTTGCAGAGTCACTGTAGTCAACAAAAGAAGAGGGGGAGAGACTGGACAGATGTTGACTGCTTCTTATTTCCAAAGATCCAAAGACAAAGGAAGCAAGGAAATAATGAATTCACTACAGCCAATTGAAAGAAGATTAATATATAGGTAAGCTATGGGGCTCAGATCATTGTCTGAACAGATGGTTTTGTATAATAATATCCTTTATTTATACAGGATGGCACAATTAGTTTACAACTAGTTTACATTGTGGTCCTGAAAACATATATACAGACAGAAGATTATGTACAGAAACATGTACTCAGTAAATATAAAGCAAGTAGGCTAAAATCAAAATATACACATGGTTTGTGTTACGTTACCACTAAAAACAATCAGAATTACCATCTAAATAATTATATTTTAGTTTGACGACTGGTAATAATTTCTTATGTATGATGTTTTAAACCCTTGCAAAGATGGACAATCTTTAAAAATTCTGACAAATTATTTTAATAATCGATCAAACCTCGTTTGACAGCAAAGAGAGTAGAAAATTGCGTCCGTTCTCCAGCACAAATTACAGAACACTGAATCCGCACACGCGCAGTACAATCTCTCACGTGGTCTCGTAATTGATATTTACGAAATAGAATTATTCCATAGCTGGGAACCAGAAATTGTGAAAGATCTTCTATAATATTCTGTTTTAGCCCTCGGAATATACAATTACTTTGACTCAATCTTGTAGCTCTGTTGTTTATTTCATGTACAAACTTAAAAACTAATTAAACAGACTTTTACCATGGGAGGTCAACATTACCGCTACATCACCAAAAAATTCAAGTCATTAGGCCATATAAAATTAATCTTTAGATTCTCATCCCCGCCCGCCCCTCTCAAAATGTCCCGCCCCGATGTTTTTTATTTTGATTTTTGGGTATTTTCATGTATTTTTATTCAGTAAGAATTTGGGTCAAAGTTTAAGAGTTATCTCCCGTCTGTATTAAAAGTCGCGTGTCGCTATTTATAGCAAAAACGCCATGTGAAGAATGGAGAAAAATCGGCAATAAAAGCAGTTTAAATGTGTTAGGAAAAGATAATTTGTCAGTATAGAGAAGACAGAGAACAAAAAATAGCATAAACACATATAGGTACCATCACTGGCAGGAGCAAGTATGTAGAGAGATTGTAACTAAGTAAAAATAGACGAAGAAAATGACACCTGGTCAAGTTATATATAACGATCTCCAGCTGTGTGACTTTGCTTTGAAATAGAAAAATCTACAACATCGTAGACAGACTTAAGAGAAGGCCTAGATTTTTCAGTAGAATAATTATTAGAACATTTATATAGATTTTGCAAAATAAGAAGCCAGGCATACAAAATTTATTGGTATCCCCACCTCATTTTGTTCAGGGTGTGCCGTATAATGTGTACTTGATAATTTGTTAATTAACGATAAATATTTAACTTTTAAAGCAAAAATTTTCTTTAAATATTTAAAAGAATATGAAAAGAATTAAATATATTCATATTTGCATTAAGGTAATGAAAAAAAATGTGTATAATACGGGGCGTCCATTGTTTTGTTGATACTTGGGCCTATATATGAATTAACAATTATAAAAAATAAAATCCGCCCACCCGCCCCAATTTTTTTGCAAATTAGGATGAGAATCTAAAGATTAATTTTACCTGGCCTTACTGCTACATTTTTTCAAATTTCTGACCGATCATTACCGCTACATTTTCTGTGCCGAAAACAACTCATTACCGCTACCTGTATATATTGAATCAGCTGAAAACAACTCATTACCGCTACTTACTCTAAGTATTGGGTTTAAACTTTCCAATAATAAACTGATTTCTGCTTTTTACCTAGCCACATTGCTCAGGTTTAACAAATTATGTCAAAAACCACAGTTTTAAAATTTAACAGAATTGTCAGGACATATAAATGACATAAATACATTCTTTTTTCCTTTTTCAAATTGAAATGTTTTACTCTTGTTACTTTATAAAAACCACCAGGATTTGAACCTAGATCTCTTGTCCTCAGGGACAATTGTGCTACCATTGCACCATG